TGTCTTACTCTTTTTTCCTTTGTCTCTGTTTGTAGCTTGGTCAAAATCATGGGTGGAGAAAGAAGTCAACATTATAGTGATTGACAGTGCTGAAGTAAGAATTGAATAATTTTGCTTAACTGTATCATCTTCCCTTCTTAAAAACTTTTAACTGAACTATAATATACATATAGAAAGAGGCATTTGATAAATTTTTGCAAACTGAACACACCCAGCACCCTGCTCAAGAAATACTGACTGTGCCTTAGAAGCCCCTCTCCATACCGCCTCCCAGTGCCTCCCCTTCCCCTCCACCCCACCCAGGATGACCCCTCTGCGGACACCCAGCAGCACACGTCAGTGTCACTTGCTGGTTTAACTTCACCTACACGGAATCATTCAGTGTGTACCCTTTTGTCATGTCTGGCTTCCTTCAGTCAATGTTATGTTATGAAATCCACCCCCATTCTTGCCTTGAGATGTAGTTGAAATATCATTGAAATATTTAAATAAACCAAAACATATTTTTCCACTCAACTGCTGGTGGGCATTTGGATAGCTCACAACTTGGGACTCACAGTTGGCACTGCTGTGGAGAATATTCACCCTTCAAGCAGCTGCTCATCTTTCTCTATGTTAACTGGCCCTTCTGCTCATCTGTAGAGCAATGATGCCAGGTTTGCACAGTCATGAAGAACCTTCTGAGTCTTCAGAAAGAGCTTCTCATCTGTTCTTTGTAGTTTTACAGTACAATGACCAAGTCGTGCTGAGTTCTAATTCATTTATTTGCAGTTATATTTCTACTCTCTAGAAGGTTCTATAGAAGTAAATTTAAAATGGAATCTTGTTACTAAGGAGCATACAAGCTTTGGGGAGTGTAAATATCTCTAATACCGATTAGAATGGGGTGAAACCCATTTTTTTAAACATGCAAACAAGGTGACTGTTGGTATCCCACATATGTTAAACGATATATTTGAGGATATTTGATTAAATATAACTTTCCATTTCCCCAACATGTACCTTTACAAAATTTTTATATCTGTACTTTGTCTAAATATTCATTAGTCTGTCAACGACAGACATGAGTTCAGGTTAAACACCACAGGAATCTAATTTTATTCTCCTCTGTGAATCTAAGGACACCCATACTTCACGCCAACAAACTTAATCAATCAATAGATATTTTATGCTGATCTCTCTACCCTTCAGGATATATCTAAAACCTTTTATTTCCCAGTTGTCTGCTGGAGAGTTGAGTTTAGAGTTGAGTTTCACTGCCTGATCAACGCCATTATTCCTTCACTGAATATTTGCTCAGCTCACCTTTGCATCCAGTGCTGTGTCAGCCACTGGCTGTAGAATAATGAGCAAAGCCCTGCGTGGCTCCTGTCCTCACCAAGTTCATGGTCTCGGGAAAAAGAGATGTGTTGTTCAAGGGGCCACACAATATAGTCTCAAACGACAGTACGTGCAGTAGGTGTAATGGCCTTCCCCTAAAATGTGTGTCCAGCCTGGATCCTCAGAAGGGGACCGTCTTTGGAAATTGGGTCTTTGCAGAGGTAATCAGTTCATTGTTCTGGATGATCCAGTGTTTGATGTTATAAGGAAAAGGAGAGGGGGATTTGGATTGAGAGACACAGAAACACACAGCCAAGGAAGGCCAGGTAGTGACAGAAGCAGGGGTGGAGTGATGCAGCTACAAGCCCAGGGACTCCAAGCTCGGCTTCCTCTTGCCAGAAACAAGAGAAAGGCAAGGAAGGACCCTACCCTGGAGCTCCAGAGGGAGCACAGCCCTCTGGCATCTTGGTTTCTGACTTCCAGCCTCCAGGATGCTGAGAGAGGGAATTTTTCTTGTGTTAAGCTAATGATCTAGTGGTGACTTGTGACAGGAGTCCTAGGAATCTCATGTGATATGGATTCAACTAAACCATAAGAAATTGCAGCTTTTCACCTGATTTGAGCCATACAAACAGCAATATTAGAGGATTCAACCTAACATGTTACGAGCTCATAAGAGGAAAACTGTCAGAGAAAGCTTCTCTGAGGAATTTCTAGTGGAACTGAAATCTGGGGAACAAATAGAATTTGATAGAGTTCAAAAGAGAAACAGGAAGAGAGGGGAGCGCAGCAGAAGGCAGGGTGCAGAGGTTCTGAGGCAGAGGGTGCAGAGGATGCTGAGGAACTGAAGGATGTGACTGGAACCTGTTGTGGGGATGGGGCCAAATGAGGCTGGACAGGCGGGGAGGGGGCAAAACAGGCCTCTGAGCCCAGCTGGAACATTGAGATTTTGGCGAGGCATGGCAGCTCACACCTGTAGTCCCAGCTACTCTGGGGGCTGAGGCAAGAGGATCCCTTGAGCCCAGGAGTTTGAAGCCAGCCTGGGCAGCGTTACAAAATCCCATATCTTAAAAAAAAAAAAAAA